GGGTTTTTTCTTACTGATTTATATTAATCCTTTATATTTTAGGGAATTTTGTCCTTTGCCTATTATGTGAGTTTCAGATATTTTCCTCAGTCTTTCATTGGTCTTTTGAGTTGGCTTATAAAAGGGCCTTTGCCATAAATATATTTTTTTAATGTCATTAAATTTAGCATTCCAGGAGTGGCTATTTTAGCTTTGGTGGTCAGCAAAGTCTCCTCTGAAGAGATAGCATTTGAGTGAAAACCTACATTTCATGCCACAAGCAGGAGACAAGTGCTCTAGTCGGGAGGTCCTAGGCAAGAATGTGCTCGGTGTATTAGAGGAACTGAAAGAAGCCCTGGAGAGCACAATACACAGTGACACACGAGGAAGGAGTGGGTTGCACCAGGCCCAAGTAGGAGCTTTGAAAGCCAGGGACAGACATGGGCTAGCTTTTGGGCCCCAGAGAGAAAAGAAAATAAGTGAGAATAGAATGATGTGAAGGCAATCTTAGGTTCTACATAAGTATTAGATGAACATTCCAATAATTACCATAGTCCAGTGTGGAATGGGCTCCAGGGTTATCTGTCAGCTTATTTCCTGTCCCTGAAACTTCTCAGGCAGAAGTGTACAACACAGCTGGGTGGCACATGGTAGAGGAACTCAAACATTAGATGGGGGTTTGACTGGTTGACATTTATCTCCAGTCTAAGCTTACCAAGATTCTGAGATTCTCTGTGGTGTATATGCCCCTGCATTTGTCTTTTCTTGTGGTTTCCCTCATTTTCTCTTCTTAAATATGATTCCTTTCCATTATCCTCCCACATGTGGTAGTATTGCCAATGGTTTATTCTTAGCTCCACGGATACCACTAAAGGCCAAGTTTACATACAGTCTACATGGAAATATCTTTCTCTTTTCAGTGACACCTGTTTCTATCTATGGCTTTCACAGCTTACACATACCTGACACTGGAACCTTCTTTGACCGGGATGTTTTGAGGAGAGGAACCACATCTTTTCCCTCCTGTGTTGTATCTGGGTACAGAGATATGGATCCACTAGGCGCTCAGTAACCAGGTGATGCTAATATGCATTCACAGGCTATTATTGCAAAATTGCTAATTGCAGACAGTATGGTTTACTCTTAACAGCTGAGAGCTAGGAACAGTGAGGGTAAAAAAGACTGCCCTGAGGAATCAGGATAGGAAACTGATTTGGAAGCCTTCCCTACAGATTAAAGCCACAATAATAGATGGAATCAGTAAAGCAGGATTCAGTAGAGAGGGCGCAGGGAGACATGAAAATAAAGAAAACATCTGTGAGATCTCTAGCATAGAAACACCCTTAAAAACTGGGAGATGCCCAATAGGAAAACAAGTCCTAAAATGCTTTTTTTAAAATCCACCCTGGATTTTGTGGGAGCTGGGAGGTGTCCTGCTTCAAACACATTGCAGTACAATTAGATATACAAGCATAAAGAATCCTGTGTTTTGTGATTTGCTCACTGTTTATGTTTTACAACTTTTTGCATACACAAGCAAAGGAAAACATTGACAAATGGGGAGGAGGGATAAGCAGCCCAAAATATCAACGAACAGGAGTTGATTTTCTGCTTTTTAGAAAAATCCAAAAATCCATCCCACATGACAGCTAATTCATTTTGCTGCTTGCTTACCATATACTCTTGTTATCAACGGGTACATAAAGAACAACTACAAAATTGTTATTACAGAACAAAGTCAAACAGAAAGAAAACAATACAGAACATAGTGAATATTCCCTACGTAAATCCTGAATTTAGACTACCAAAACCCAGTAGAGACCTGACTTATGCTAGGACCTTGAAGAAGTTTCTACTTTTTTTTTTTTTTTTTTGAGACCAAGTCTTGCTCTGTTGCCAACTTGGAGTGCAGTGGCGTGATCTCGGCTCGCTGCAACCCGGGTTCAAGCAATTCTCCTGCCTCAGCCTCCTGAGTAGCTGGAACTACAGGTGCATGCCACTACACCCAGCTAATTTTCGTATTTTTAGTAGAGATGGGGTTTCACCATGTTGGCCAGGATGATCTCCATCTCTTGACATCGTGATCTGCCTGCTTCATCCTCCCAAAGTGCTGGGATTACAGGTGTGAGCCACCGAGCCTGGCCAGAAGTTTGTACTTTCTAAAGCTTTGAATTTCAGCCTTTTTTCTTTCACTGTTACCCAGCATGACCCCAGTTGTGACTTTTGGTGAGTGTGTGAGGCTTGAGGCAAGTCACTTCGCCTCTCTGGGTCTCGGGATCCTCTCCTTTTGAGGGACACAGGATTTGACAGCTTCTCCCAGACACTGTCTCCTATGGTTCTACACAAACTTTACTTTGCACTGCCTTTTTTCCGTTCATTTGATGGTCTAAGAAAAAGCTGCTGAATTTTTAAGCAATGCTAGGGTTCTGCAGAAGGAGTTAATCTGATCTGCTGGTGCTTAAAGTAATATACATACATTCTGTCCATAAAACATCCCACCAGCACCCAAGCAGGGTCTTTCTGCACCTCCTCCTAGAAGTAGGCACAACTGCTGTCTCTGTGATAAGATCATACAACTCGAGGAGCATAAAAGTCATTTATGTTGTGAAGCCAAAGGCCATGGCTTGATTTTATTTACAGTCTAATCTAGCCTGTAATCGAATCATTTGAAACAACTAGATTTTGAGTTGCTCTAAATTTTTTTTTAGTTCACAATTATTTTTGTTGACACTAATGGCAATAATAAACAGTAAACCATTCACAAAACCTACATTCGTATAACTTCTATGGTGTGTGTCCATTTGATGAACCTTGATAGTTAGGAAATGTGTAATCCCATAAGAGCAGGTTTCCTCAAGACAAACCGCTCATGAACAAAGTGAAAACAACGTCTTTAATTCCTGTTCTAGAAGAGTTAGAAACTTGCAAATTTATTTTCCAGTTGATTCAATCTGCTGTCTCTAACTCTTTAGGGAGAATTACAGAAATGGAGAGAAAAATCTTGGTAATTTATTCAATTTTATCACTTCTACTGATCCCATAAAAAGACTCCATCTGTCAAATTATCTTTTCTTAAAACAACAAACAAAAAAAAACCTTTTCACAATTTTCTTCATATGGGTATGTTGAAACGAGTACTTTAAGTATCTGTGTCATGAAAACTATTGATGTTCCAATAAAATCTGTTCCTTCTAAATGATCTGTTCTTTACCCTCTTTTGAGGGGAAAACTTCAGCTTCTATCATTTGTTTATAATTTGCTTGTGCAGCATGGGATTTATTGCTTTGGGTGAATATATTATGGCATATTTGAGTAGTGTAGAATACTCTTATGTTAACATATTCTGTGATTTGGATTTCAATCCATAATCAGTACATCTTTCTTTTTAAAATTTCTGCCTTGGTTTTCTTGAAAGTCAAATGATAAGAATAAAAAGAAGAGAAACCTACTTGAATCATATCTTTGATCATATATTTTGTTTTCTTATTTATTAATTGTTGTTGTTTTAAGACAGGGCAAGGCTGGAATGCAGTGGCTTGATCTCCACTCACTACAACCTCCAACTCCCAGGCTCAAGCGATCCTCCCACCTCAGCCACCCAAGTAGCTGGGATTACAGGCACACACTAGTGTGCTTGGAGAATTTTTTAATTTTTTGTAGAGACAGGGTCTCACTATCTTGCCCAGGCTGATCTCAAACTCCTGGACTCAAGCAATCCTCCCACCTTGGCCTTCCAAAATGCTGGAATTACAGGTGTAAGCCACCACGCCCAGCCTGATCATACATTTTAAACCTTGTTTCTGTAATCACAGTCTGTGTCAATGTCAAGCCACCGTGCTCGCTTCAGCAGCACATATACTAAAATTGGAACGATACAGAGAAGATGAGCATGGCCCCTGCACAAGGATGACATGCAAATTCGTGAAGCATTCCATATTTTTTGAAAAAAAAAAAAAAAAAAAGTGTCAAGCCACCTGATCATCTAAGCGCCATTGGAGAAACACTCCCATCCCCCATGAGGTTTTCTGATTTCTACTCTTAAGCATGATACTAATCTTTGATTAGTTCTTTCATTCTCTCAATGACTATGCCAGAGCTACTATTTTCTCTTCAAGTTCCCATCTACAATTGTAAGACAAAATAGAGGACACCCAGTTAAATGTGAATTTCAGATAAGCAATAAATAAGTTTTAGTGTAAGTATGTCCTATGCAATATTGACCAAGTCCTGTATTTATATTTGCTAAATCTGGCAACTCTACCTCTAACCCCTCTTCCTCTCTTAACTAACTTTACCTCGTAGTAAAATTTGAAGTTATTAGCAGGAACTTTCTCATCTTCCTGCCATCTCCTCTACAAATGTACCTACCTGAGGCATATCCTCATCTGTTTCTCTCCTACTCTAGTTACTGACCTGTTCAGGACCACCTACTCCCTGCCCATCTCCTGCATTTGATGTCCTGACACAAAAGTGCAGAGCCACAGGCTGTATTGCAGTATGAATACACCCTACAGAGCTTGGCACTGAACACGTGTATTTAGTGGAAGAGAAAGAGACTTGAAATGTATGAAGCCAAAAGCTCGTTTATGGAAAACTCTTCTGAATTTTACAACTCATATAAGAAAGAAACCTGATCGCTTTCCTGGGTCTGACAACAATTGCTTTCCCAGATTTGACAACAATTTTAAACAAATTTCAGGGCATTACCAATTATTGTGATGCTGAAAGAAACTTCTTAATTATACATTTTTTAATTTAAATAACTATATGGGAGGAAAGACTAAATTACTCCTCTGTTTATTCTATGAAAACGATATTGTCATATGAAGAAGTGATTAACAACTATGAATTCAAAAATTTAGGGGAAAAGCATTTTAGAGATGTTTAAAGCAGTTTTTTACAAAATATGTGATTTTCTAGACTTTGTGATGTTTGTGGTATTTGTTAATTTAAAAAAATTAGTAATTATCATGAATTATTTTCTCATTCTGAATACTTTGTGCCTAATTTTGTATTCTTTCTTTTCTTTTTTTTTTTTGAGACGGAGTTTTGCTCTTGTTGCTCAGGCTGGAGTGCAATGGTATGATCTCGGCTCACTGCATCCTCCCTGTCCCGGGTTCAAGCAATTCTCCTGAAGAGCTGGGATTACAGGCACCCACCACTATGCCCAGCTAATTTCTTTTTTTGTACTTTTAGTAGAGATGGGGGGTGGTTTTCACTATGTTGGCCAGGCTGGTCTTGAACTCCTGACCTCAGATGATCCACCCATCTCAGCCTCCCAAAGTGCTGAGATTACAGGCATGAGCTACTGCACCCGGCCTGTATTCTTTTTCTTAAACTGAGTCCCCACCATTATGCAACTCAAGGTCCCATCCAAACCCTGGTTTATCTCCATCTGAAAGGGATTTCTCTCTTTTTTCTTTTTTTCTTTTCGAGATGGAGTCTCGCTGTCACCAGGTGTGATCTCGGCTCACTGCAACCTTTGCCTCCCAGGTTCAAGTGATTCTCCTGCCTCAGCTTCCTGAGTAACTGGGATTACAGGCACCTGACACTCAAACTCCTGACCTTGTCATCTGCCTGCCTCGGCCTCTCAAAGTACTGGGATTACAGGCATGAGCCACCATGCCTGGCCGGAATTTCAAAATAGAAAATACAAACAAAGTCATCAGTCAAGGTGGAAAATGGATCGAGTCCACACCACGTGGGAAGGGGAGCGGACAAAAGATGCAGAAAATCTCCTGGAAGAAACAAGAAGCAAACTTGATAAATTCCATAGATGAAAAGCAAATGGCTCTGGCAATTCTTCACACACTTTTGGAATTCTCTTGACTAACAAGTCTGGTTCATTTTGGGATAAATGGCTCCTCCACCTTTGCTCCATCTTTATAGCGTATTCTTTAGGATTCTGTCCACGTCCTTCCCTCCTACTTGGCACAATTGAAAATTAACTACATGTAACTTCAGTTAGAGATTTAAGCAATTGACTACATGATCTCATCTACTTCCACATTAATAATCAACCCCTATAATCTAATGACAAGATATACATGCTAGTGTACTTAATGCCGTGTTACCTAAAAAGTAGAAACAACATAAATGTCCAAGCATAGAATGATTTTAAGTAACTTACAAGATTCTGTGAAGCTTATATTAAAAATGATGATGTATGTTCTCACAAGTGGGAGATAATCTTTGGTACACACAGACATAAAAATGGGAACAACAGACACTAGGGACTCCAATGGGGCAAGAGCTGGCAAACTTCCCATTGGAGACTGTGTTCACTGTTGGTGACAGGAATCAAATAGAAGCCCAAACCTCAACTTCACTAAATACACCCTTGAAACAAACATGCACATGTGGAAAGCAGCACATCTCAATCCTATTTTTGTAAAATAAGTAAAATAAATACTATATGAATCTGAAATTTCAAATGATATATGCCATGTATAAATATTGGTACTTTTTTTGGGTGAACTATTTGAATTTCTATTATTATCTTGTATAATATAGATGATTTTTATTTTTGTTTTTTATTTTTATTTTATTTTTATTTTTTTGAGAGGGAGTCTTGCTCTGTCACCAGGCTGGAGTGCAGTGGTGAGATATCGGATCACTGCAGCCTCCACCTCCTGAGTTCAAGTGATTCTCCTTCCTGAGCCTCCGGAGTAGCTGAGATTACAGGCACCCCATACACACCTAGCTAATTTTTGTATTTTTAGTAGAGACAGGGTTTCACCATCTTGGCCAGGCTGGTGTCAAACTCCTAACCTCATGATCCACCCTCCTCAGCCTCACAAAGTGCTGGGATTACAGGTGTGAGCCATCGTTATTTTTATTTTTATTTTCTTGAGACAGAGTTTCACTCTTGTTGCCCAGGCTGGAGTGCAATGGTGCAATCTTGGCTCACTGCAACTGCTGCTTCCCAGGTTCAAACAATTCTTCTGCCTCAGCCTCCCAAGTAGCTAGGATTACAGGCATGCACCACCACACCGGCTAATTTTGTATTTTTAGTAGAGACGGGTTTCTCCATGTTGGTCAGGTTGGTCTCGAACTCCCGACTTCAGGTGCTCCACCCACCTCAGCCTCCCAAAGTGCTGGAATTACAGTGTTTTCCCATCACTCTTGCCTTCTCAATGACAACGTTGCCTCCCTATGTGCTCCTGCATGGCATAGTACTTTCCCTTCTCTTGGAATCTGTGAGTCACAGTCTTTTCAGTGGCAACAGACTCTTGACCTCTTGGTCTCTCCATACCTGAATAATAAAAAAAATATATGTATATATTTTTTAAACCAACTAAAATTTATTTAAGCATAAAGTTACTTTCCCATTTGTCTACAACCACAGTAGACCTGGTGTCCTGGTGGAGGAAACATCATCCTACGGTCCTGTTCCCACCGAGGTGACAGGAGCCCTGTGAGGATCCAGTAACCTACCACAGGTTGATTCTCCTCTTTCGCTGGTACTCTGACGATGCAGAGGATTCCCTGGACCACTTGAGCCTCTTCCTTTCCCCCCAGGAAGCAAAGGTGAGAGTCTGAGCGGACCCTCCAATAGAGTTGGAGGACAGAGAAAAGCTCTCATTTCACATGAAGGTCCACCCATTGGTGAGGGACTGTACAGGGAATGTTCTCTGCCAAATGCCCTACTTGGAACATCAAATGCATCAGGATCTTTCCTAAGAGCTTAAATTTAAACTCTATTTCAGTGAATTTTTGTCTGCTGTGGGCATTTTCTTTCCTTAAATCATTGAGGTTTCCCTCAGCAGTCCAAGCTGCCAACTGATCACGATGTGCTTTTTCCTCATAGGCAATGGTCCACCGTTGATAGTGATCAATAGTTCTCTTGAGTTCTTCTTCGAGATCTTTGGCTCGCTTTCTGTAGGTCTCCAGCTCCTCGGTGGGATGGACAGTCTTTTTGTCTACTTTAGAAAGTTTCTCTTCTTTCTGTAACTGGCTGTTCTCCTGTAGTGTTAATTTCCTATAGAGTCTCATTTCATTTTCTTGATAGAACTGAGTCATTATTTTAAGTTTCTGTTGAAGCTTCTGATTCTCACTTTCTAAATGTGTGTTTTCTGACTGCAAAGATGCTTGTTGAGTCTGAAGATTTTTAATACACTGTGTAAGCTCTTCCTTTGTTTTTTCACCTTCAGATAACTGAAAATCAATTTGGTTTCTTTCTCCTTCCAAGATTTTCAAAGAAGCATTTAACTTAGCAGCATGAATCCGTTTCTTCGAAGCTCCTTCTGGAGGATGATCTGAGTTAGCACCATCTTCTGATTCACTGTTCATTGGTAATTTCCAGTTCTCATCTTCCATTATGTCTTCTCCAAGCACAGCAGCCCAGTCTTTCATCTTCAGCCAGCGTTCTGTCAGAGTCTCGATGTGATTGTCTTTATCGTTTAGAACTTGCTCTGCGTGTGCTCCGGAGTCTTCCAATGTTATTTTCGGTTTATTAAGTTCACTCACTTGTTCTTTCCATACTTCAGCTTCTTGCAAAAGCTGTTTCTGGCTTTCCTGAAGTTGAAAATTTTCATTCAAGGAAACTTTTATTACTATCTTCAGTCTTTCTTCATTCATTTGAGATATCTTGAAGATGATTTTGGCTTCAGCTACTTGTGATTTGAGGGATTTTGAGTTATCTTCTAGAGACTGTATTGTTTTTGAAATATCTGCCATTAGTTGCTTTTGTTGAGAAGGTTTTGATTTCTGTTAACTCTTTTTTGAGACCAAGTATCTCATCCTCAAGTTCATCATTGGACCTGCTCAGCTTTTCACATGTTGCCTCCAAACTTCGTGCCTCTGCTGCCTCGTCCTCAAAGCTGGCCTCCTTTAAAGATGACTCTACTTCACAGCCTTCATGCTCTTTTTTAAGGAGGGTAAGGTTTTCAAGTAGTTTACATTTTTTGTCAATTAGTTCAGAAAGCGCACCGGCAAGCTTCTTCTCTCTTCTTACATAAAGCCGACTTGTAACCGATCTCCAACTTCTCCACAAAAAAATGGGAACAGCAAAAACTCCAACAATAGCTGCCCATACCAAGAATTCCCATGGAAACTCGTGGGAATTAGAATCTGTGGTCATATTTTGAGGCAGTGCTGCCACAACCCTGTGTAGCTCCACCAGGACCAACCCGAAATAGGGCTGAGAGGTAGACCTGGGCTCTGCACAGTGCTAAGGCTGCTCTGGCAGTCGCCACAGTAACTGGAACAACAATAAGCAGAGGAGAACACACAGCCTTCCATTTGGAACCCAAATCCACCGGAGCAGACCACTGCAGAGCTGGCTGCTGGGGGGAGCTTGGGGCACACACAAGTCTCACAGGCCCATGCTGCCCACCCCGCCCCTGTGTTACACTTTACATCCTGAGGCAGCGCTAAAACCTATATTTTAAAACAATAACACATGGAGGGAGACTCAGGTGATCCAGCATCCCAGCTATGCCCATCCCCCAGCTGACACCCAAACTAAATGTAGCCTTGTGAATGAGCCCAGGTGAGGCCAGCAGAAGAACCTTCCAGCTGACAGAATGATAAGCAATAATAAATCATTGTTTTAAGTCCCTAAGCTTAGGGGTCACTTGTTAAGCAGCAGTAGATAACTGAAATACCTGCCGCCTTATCACTTTGGTGTTTCAGTATTTGTGGTCTGAAATCATTAATTTAGGCAATTGACTAAGATTATGCCTCATGGTAAATTCTGATAGGTAATTTTATAGGTAAAATACACATTTTCTTATTGACCTTTGCTTCATTGAAGAGAGATTTATTTAGCTCCTCCCAAATGAGACAGATTATGCTTTCTAGATTAACTCCTTCCAGTAAAGGGCTCACCTCTGCCTAGCACGATCCTCAGTGTCTCATGTACGAGAGAAAAATGCTCATCTTGTCCGCAGAAGGCCTAGGGCACTTAGAACAGTGCTGGCACATAGAGAGTGCTCCTCTTCCCTGTCCATCAACTGACCTGCTCTGTGTCCATTTCTGCAACACTGGCATTTCTCAGCACGGATGATGTGATGCCTTGCAATAAGACGTCATCTCCCGTGTGTGCACGTATCTCCAGCTCATCCGGAAAGCTCTCTCCTTCAGGAGAGGAACCAAACTACCTACAAAATGTCCTTCATGTACTCGGTGTTCTATAAATATTTTTGTTTAATCGGTTTCTGCAGATCCAGAGACTCTTTGTTTTTGTTAGTTTTTGCTAGGCACCAGTTGGCTGCTCTGAAGCCGGCGCCTATGTTGACCTGATTGAGGGTGCTCACATTGAAGCAGAGGTCACATCTGCCACTCTCCTGCTCACAGCCTCCAGTGGCTTCTCAACTTGCTCGAGACAGAGCCTCTGCCGCCCTCCATGCACTGGCCCCAGCTCCCTCTCCTCCCCACACGCTCCCTCCCACTGCTCTGCTTCTGCCTCCCACACCCCCTTGTCTTTCCCTGAACACAGCAAGCCTGCTGCTGCCTCGAGGCTTTTGCACTTATGTTTCCTCTGCCTGGACTACCTTTACTTTAGACACCCACATGGCAACTCTCTCAAGGGTTTGTTTGAATGTCACCTGTCACTGTGGCAGCTCCCACCCTCACGCCAGCCCTGCATGCTCTATCTCATTTCCTTCCCTTGTCTTTCTCCCTAGCTGTCTTCCTCCATCATGGTCTGACATGCCACAGATTCATCAATTTGTTGATCATTCTGTAAAGGTCCAAAAAGGCTAAGATGTGGCTGTTTTCCCAGTCCCGAGGACAGTGCATGTGACAGGTATTCAGTGACTATTGAGAAGCAAATGGATGTGAGAGGGAGGCAGAGCTCCTGGGACCTGTGTTTCCCATTCACGCTTGTTCTTTGTGCTGCTACCTGTGGCTGTTCTGTAAACAGCCTTCTCCATGTCACGTGGGGCAGCAGCCTCAGCAGCACCCGAGCCATGGCTGGCACATCCTCCACAGAGCTCCCAGCCCCAGTGTGTTCTCGGGAAACTGATCCCTTACTAAAGGCTGTGGGAACTAGAGAGAGGGTTTACATGATACACCCTTTGGTCACATTTTCAAAATTACCTGCTGAACATCCTTCTCTTTCTTTCACTGAGTTCCTACCTAATCATTGCCACCTTGTTTTCCTAGAATCACTCCCAGAGGCCTCTCCAGTGCCTAGACCCAGTAGGTGATGCTCTGCAGCTCCACGTGCCCCAGACATGCGGGCTTTACCCCAGAGCGGCACTGACCTCGCTGTCTGCCCACTCAGCCCTGCTCTTCTGCCCCTCACTGCCTTGTAAGCTCAAGGGCAGGGACAGTGGCCCCTGTGTCCAGTGCACATGGGTGACATTTAATGAATGCTCACTGAATGGATGAATACATACATTAATGAAGTAGAAAAAATACTTAGGAATCTGAAAAGTTAGACAGATGGAAATGACATAGAAGGAACTTGAGAATTTACCCTTGCGAATCCAGGATTCTGCCTGCCATTCAGGACCAATAGGTGTCCACTAAACACAGCTTTCCAAGGACAGGAGTTTCACAGCTTCCCCTCTTCCTCTTCCTGGCCAGAGCCTGTTGATTCAGACACCAAATAAATAAATAGATGAGTGGGCAAACTGCATTCTCAGGGTTCAGTCTGTGCCCATGTTGTCCTAAATCTAATGCTTCATGTGGAATGCAGTTGAAGTCATGGGGTTGAAGATGAAAGGTCCTACACCTTCTCTTGGACACTCCCTTCCCCCAAAGGGGAGGGTCAGGGGCTTCAATCCTGTCCATGAAAAAATTCTATGGAGATATATTAAATCCTAAACAAATAACCAAGGAGCTAAGTGAGGCAGTTTACTTTTACCAGTGGCATTGTGAAATTCACCAGGTTTTTAAAAAAATGGCATTGGCACCAAAGAAATGGGAGGGGTGCTCCTGAAAGGGGTGATGCAGCAGCATGAACCTCGTGGAATGACTGTAATTATACTGTCTCCTCCTCTCTAAGCCAGTGACAACGTGTGCTTAGAGAGCTCTTCCATGATGAGCAGACACCTCATCCCTCTTTTTCTGGATTTGCAGCTGCATTGCAGGGGCAGCTTAAAATAACCCAAACCCAGGCCAGGCTGCAACTGATGTGGGACCCTCTAGGCTACAGAGCCCGGGGCAGCACCACATAGAGTCTGCAGCCATTATGCTGCATGTCCTTCTGGGAATGCTAATGACCAGAGGTTTGGGACAGCCAGGGAACACAGTCTGTCCTCATCTATTCCCTTTTCTCCTGGAAGAAATGTCTGCAGGACAAACATCTGGAGCCTCTAGGAAAGAAATACTGCTACACAAGCTCTGAAGGTGACAAATAAAATCACCACGGCCTGTTGTCACCAGGCAGGCCTGTGGTGATCAAGCAGCATGGCTGGGATTTGGGGTGCATTTGGGAGGACCCAGGCAGAAAGAGAATGGCAGAGGCTGCCAGCCTGCTGCACCGCTGCAAACACACCAAGAGAGACAGACAGGCAAAGCTGACATCTGTCAGGGAACAATTAGCTGCCATCAAGCCCTTAGCCTCTGCTCAGCCCTCTGCAGGGTGTGAATGTTTGCAGATGTCCTTCTGTTCTAACACCATCTCTTCTTCACACACATTGAGAAAATGGAAGCTGAGAGTACATGCTGCAAGAAGTAGTCACTTGATTCCCAAGGTCAGTTTAGCCCAGGAACAATGACCCGTTCCACAGGTGCGGTGGGCCAACACACATAGAGTCGGATTGTGTAACTAGTCATATAACACCTCATTTATTCCCTGAATAATGCTATGAGGTGGGTCATATTCAGCTCGTTTCATGCACAGGGAAACTGATGCTTAGCGGGCTGAGCAGCCTGTCACCAAGGTGGAGAAAGCCAGGCAAGTGGAGTCCAGACAGGTATGGCTGTCACACTGGAAACGCCGGTGCTCTCCTGCTCCCCTTGCAGGTGGAGACTGACTGCAGCATCTCAGGCCAATCCCAGGGAACAGGAGGGGCAGCTCCCACCTGAGGTGTAGGGGGCTGGAAGGGACATACCTCTTGGGGACACAGAGCTGATTCCTGGGACTCCACACTTAGGCCACCTGCCACCATGGTAGGCGGGGGCTGGAGCTGTGAGTTCAGCCTCTGACTCTGCTATCTGGGCAAGTCCCACCACCTCCCTGAGTGGCAGTGGTTAATTGCACTGCCAGAGAGCCGGCCATAGAGCGCATTAGCTAAGAGACCCTGGCTCCCGAGTGTGGCCCACAGAGCAGCAACCTCACAGCACCTGGGCCCCAGCCCACAGCTACTGAGTCAGAATCTGCACCCCAGCAAGACCCTGATTCCAGGGACGCATGTTAGAGTCCAGGATGCCCTTCTGAGGCCCACGCTTGAATTCCGGCTTCAAATCCTGGCTTGGCCGTTTAGTGGCTGTGATTCCAGCTGTTGCTTCATTACTCTGTCAGGAATCGATTCAGGTTTGTGGGCCTACATCTTATACAATCTGGAGTATTTTCCTTAAGAAAAGAAGGATGTAAAATTACAAATGCAAAATTAGGAGCAAAAGTGATGTTTGGAATGTAAAGACTTTGCCGCCAATTACAAATATCGAAGAGCTGCCAAAAACCAAAAACACGCAAACAATCCAGATACCTGATTTCATGTTTCTATCAACAAGTGCACTTCTGCAACACTTTATCCTTATTTTGGGGCCCTGATGGACTCTTCATCTGGCTAGGATTTTATAAAAGATAATTCAGCCTTTCCCCTAACCAGGCTGATAGAAATGTTTCACTAGGAGAGTTGGAATGTGTAGAATATGCCCCTTCACGAGTAGACATACTCATTAGATGGAACACTGCTATCGCTTTCTGCCCTCAAAATACAACAGCTGCAGTGAATTGTATTTCTTGCAACTGCCATTGAAGAAGAAAAGAATCCATGACGTGCTTATAAGCATATAGGCCTCATTAAGTACATTCCTGAAAAGAAAGGGCGTTGTTGATGAGAATCGACTCTGCTAACAGTTTTACATGTCAGATAATTGGGAGAATTCTCCACAGTAGCTTTGGACTCCATGTGCTACAGGTCTGGGGTTCCTCTATTGTTCATGTCCCGCTACATAGATGCAGAGACGCCCCTGTCACCATGCGCCTGGGTGAGTCAGGAAGTGGACAGAGGGAGTAGTCCTGGGTCCTGGAAGCCATTCCTGTACAGGGAGCACCTGATACACAGGAGTGGGAGCAAATCATCGGAATAGATCTCGCTCATTCAAATAGTTGTATCCCCAAGTCAATGACCTTTTCCCCTGAAAATCACTGACGCTTGACACAGGGAACGTGCATGTGCTGGAGGGAACATCGGCAAGAGGAAACCTGTCTTAACCAATTACAAGTGAAATATTAATAACCCATTTTGCAAAACTTCCAAACACATGACCAAGAGAACGCATGGCTGGGCCCTTCCAGAGCCTGACAGGGGCCTGAGCATCACAGACGCCTCGAGGGCAGAGCTTCAGTGAACAGCCCAGTGAGTGGCCTCTGCACTCTGGTGTCAGTTCTTTCTCCATGAAATGGCGGGAACGATAGTATTTTACATGTGGGCTGTGTGAGCTGGGAGAATGGGTATGTAAAGGGTTTCTATGTACCTATCATGGTGCCTGGCACATATTTAAGGTTTAATAAGTGGTAGCCATCAATGCATTCTTTCCTTGTTGAAAACATCTTATTTATTTTAGTCTGTATGTTAGTCTAGAGAAAGGAGCCACACAGAGCCATGCGCTGGCTTGGGTTTGGCCCTTCCAGCCATCCACGCATGGACCCAGCCCAGCCCTCCTTCCTAGGTTTGCATCCCAGGAGGGCCTGGCTCCCTGGGGTACTATTGGCCTAGAGCTCCTCAGGGTGACCTCAGGTCAGTTACCCAAGAAATCCTTGTTTCATCTTTTCAATCATCTACCTAAAATGTATTTTACCTCAGTGATTTTTCTTCTGAGAATCCTATTTAAACATACTCTTTCCCCTTTCAATTAAACCAGCAAGAATTGAATACCCTTCCACCCCTTCCTCCCTTCCCCCTTTCCCTTCTTCCCCTCCTCCCTTCCTTCCTTCCTTCCTTCCTCCCCGTCCCCCTTCTTCTCCTCCCCCCCTCCCTCCTCCCCCCTTCTCCCCTCCTCCCAGTCCCCCCCCTTCCTCCCTTCCACCCTTCCTCCCTTCCTCCCTTCCTCTCTTCCTCCGCCCTCTGAGCGTTCCCACACATCATTCTCCAGCCTCTTTCTCACTGCATCCTCAGGCTCTGGGAAGCTGAGTGACTCCCCTGAGGTGATCTAAACTCAGGTCTGTCCGGCTCACCAGTATTTTTTTTCCATTCTCTTATGCAGAGGAGAACTAGTAAGGCCGCCTTAATACTAACCTGTGGGCTTAAGCCCTAGTTCCCTGCCTACTGACCAGGCGTTCATTCCCTAAAGAGCATAAATGTGACTTACGGATGCCAGCCCACCCACCTCCCAGTCCCACACTGCAACTACAGACATCACTATTGGGAGAAGTCCTAACCATTATGATAAATTCTATTGTT